ACGGCCCCCAGTTAGGCGTAGACCCAGCGCGCAGCGCGCTCCGTGTTTGCAGACCGCCCTGGCGGACTCGTTTCCACTTCCAAGCTCAAGCCAGGCGCCGCAGGCCATAAAGAGGAGCGCAGATTAAAATGGCGCCGGAGGCTCCCCGCGGGGCCGTCCGCGCAGAGAACCTTTGTCTAAAAACAAAACAAGAAAATCGATGAGACACCACTAGGGGCTGGGGGGCTCCGATCTCCATCTCTCCAGTACTCTCCAATCTCCAGCGTCGCTACATCTTAGGCCGGATCCAGTCAGATCTCCGATCTCCATCTTCCATCTCCAATCTCCAACGTCGTCATCTTAGGCCGGATTCAGTCAGATCTCCGATCTCCATCTCCAATCTCCAATCTCCAATCTCGATTCGGGGGCCCGGGGGAGGAGGGGGGCTCAAACCTTCAAGGAGATGCGCTATGGATTCATTCACATAGCAAAAGGATCTCCACACTCTTTTCGCGCCATTTTGCAATCTCCAGTCGGCCCACACGATCTCTAGGCGCCTTTGGCGCGAAGTCAGAATCTCCACCTCTGTCGCAAGATCTCAAGCGACTGCACGCACCAACTCGAGATCTCAGACTCCTCTCGAGCATCTACTCCGGAGAAGATTTGCCTCCACCAGTTCTTCAATCTACTGCTGCTCTTGGCAGGAGATTTGCCACTTAAGAGATCTCTGAAAGGCATCTACGATCTACAGTCCAAGGATCTTCCGATGTCGCGCAGAGATTTCCATGTATGCGCCCCGAAAGCAGCCGTCCGAGCTCGTCGCTCGAGCGCGCGCACCCTGAAATTCACGGCTGAAAGATCCCTGTGAACACGACCAGCCCCAGCAAGGGGCAAGCGGCATAGTAGGCTTGCCGCGCTGCGGGTTGAGGTGGCGGTCGAAGTGGTGCACCCTCGCGGCCAGGGCAGCCTCGTCGAACCAGCCCAACACTTGCAGAAAAAGAAAAGAAAAAAGACGCTCGCGAGTAAAATCCGAACAACGTCCTCGTGGTCGACTCAGGCAGGTGTGCGGTCTCGGGCAAATCTCGGCGGGAACACGAACCGTTGTCGCCCCCATTACATGCGCTGAGTGGTCGCTCCGTTGTCGCTTATGACGGCACCTGCATCACACCGCGGCGGCGGGCACAGGCGTTCTGTGCGCAGGCGCTGTTGCTGTTGCTGCTTCATCGATCTCTGCCGGTCAAATCTCTGACTGAGGGCAGCATTGCGCGAGACGGGCGCGCGAGTCGAGACCGGCGCGCCCCCAAGGGACAAGCTACCCTCTCCCCTGTCCGAGCCAGACTGCTCTTCACCTTTCTACCTGACCTAACCTAGAGCCTGTCCTGGGGCAGGTCCCTACGCCCTCCCAATCATACGCATAAAAAAAACGGGACTGAATCGATCGTACACGTACTGCGGTGGTGTGAGTGAATGCACCATGAGCAAAAACCTGCCGAGGCCTGTACATTCTTTATGCGCGGCCTGGATTCTTCTTCCTCTTGGTGAAGAAGGCAGCGCGGGCGGCGCTGGGGGGAAGGGGGGGAAGGGCGGCGGCGGCGGGCGGCAGTCCCGCGAGGCACGCCTGCGGAAGGGTTCGTCCTCCTCGCGGGGCGGGGTGGGTGCGCACTGCGCGCCGCGGGGATGAATGAGAGGAGCCTGAGCCAGGGGAAGGTTGGGAAGGGGGGGCGAGGCCGGAGATGTATGTCGGCCTCTTCGACGGCCCATAAGGGGGCGTCGCCTGCTGTGCCTTTTGTGGTGCCAGTCCCTGTCCGTGCCAGTCTGCTGTGAGAGCTGAGAGCGGCTTGTTATTAGAATTCTTCCTCGCACAACACGGCTCTCCCGTGGTGTACCTGTGTTAGCGCCAGTGCGCGCCAGTCCCGTGCCGCGTGTTGTGCGAGGGAGTTTGGTCGTAAAATTCTTCCGACTCGTGAAACAAGAAGACCCACGACGAGTTCGGCGATGCTGCTGTCAATGTTCCGCTGCAGGGCCACAACACCAGACACAACTACACGCTTCGACGCCTCATCCTCGCCCTACGCGCCGCGTGGGGCACCGCTGTGCGAATGGAGCCGACAGCCCACCTCGGTCAGAGTTAGATGCGGACAACATTGGCACGCGCGGCAGGCACTATTGCGGAGACAGTCATGGTCGTCTGTCCCCCCAGCAGCAGCGGGGAGCACGGTCGGAAGGGAGCCTTTATCGCTTTCGGCAACACCGAATCATTCTACCGGAGCATGGTTGAGGGGCATGGGCCCTACTGCGAGGTCCGAGGAGGGAGAGGGGGGGGGGGGGGGGCTGGCTGGGGCTGCAGAAGCCAGCGTATCTCAGTCGTTCTTCACACAGCCATGCGGAGCAGATTGTGAATGAGCTTGCCTGCGGCGAGGGCGGTCGAGTGCACGGAGCTAAGTGCATCGCGGAGCAGATTGTGAATGAGCTTGCCTGCGGCGAGGGCGGTCGAGTGCACGGAGCTAAGTGCCTCGCCGTCCTCGCAGGAGTCGCTTAGGCGGCTCCCTTACCTGAAGAAAGAAAGAAAACAGACAACCCAAACGAGGGATAGGGGAGGAGGACAGGGTTCACACCTGCACGAGCAGGATTTTGGAAGGACGATCAGGGGGACAGGTGGGCTCTCCTGCTCCTACAAGGGACACGACAGGCTCGCAGCGCGGTGCACGGTGGAATCCCAACTCCACTGGCGGTCTCATCTCAGTCTAGCGACCTTCCTCCGGCTTCTCACCGGCAGTCTCTCACTACCACGGGCACACTGACACAGGGGTGGCAGGGAGGGAGGGGCGGCGGCATGAGTCTCCCACATGCTACCTATGCGGGCCTCACTAGAGGTGCGGCCTGCGCGTGTCCTCGCCCTTGGGAAGGTCTTGAGGGGGGAGGGGAAGGGCTGGAGTCGCCCGACATCGTTCGCTCGTCTGCGTGAGCAGAGCAAGGCAAACAAAAGGACGTGATGAAATCCGCGAAAAGGAAAGAAAAAATCTCTAGCGCGAGGACAGCGCGGAGTGGCGCGGTGGCTGCGAGCAGAGAAATACGGAGCGTAATGGAGACGAGTGGCCTGAGCGAGGGGCAGAGCACGCTATTGCCCCCCGTTTTATTTATCGACACACACAAAACGTCAAAACAACTCGGAGTGCAGGCGTAGCACGCGCCAGTAAGCCTGCATCCTCGTCGCCGCCCGGTCCTGCACCGCTCGTCTGGACATGCCTGACTCAACCTTTGCCGCCGCACTCGAGGTTGTCGACTCGGCGACCGCCTGCGGCCTCGACCAGGGTGCTCAGGGCCTCGCAGGAAGTCCCGACGGGCTGACTGACAGGCTCGACGAGCTGCTCCTAAAGGAGATTGAAGACACCGTCTCCGTCGGCGAAACTTTGAGCGAGCGTGAGAACGTTGGTGGAATCTCGGCGAGCAGCTCGAAGGACAGTCTCCCGGAAGGCAAAGATTGTGTCGTCGAAAGTCTCCCGGAGTCCGTTGGCCTTCCAGGAGGCACGACTCGCAGCCATGCCGAGAGGCTCCGCATGCAGCCGGTGAGCCTGTTGCTGCGCTGGAGTGGCTGTCTGCTGGGTCAGACCGCGATCGGACTCGTCATCCTAGCAGCCACTTACTCGGTCATCATCAAAGTGGCTGTCGACGAGGCGCGCGAGCGGCGATCAGCAGAGCGCGAGTTCGGCTCGGGAGAGAGCGACGCCCACTGGACTGGCGACGCGCGGTCGACAGTCTTGCTGCTCCTCCGGCCGTCGTATGCGCTGCTTCTCGCACGCGTGACGTCGGCCTTGATGGTGGGCGTCGCCAAACGTGCCCCCTGTGGCGACTGGGAGTACATCCCTCTGCCCGCCTTCGGGGTACTTCTTCTGCACCACGCTCTTGCCAGCCTGTGGGCCCTTGCTGCTGTGCTTTACCCGGCTGGGTGCGCGATCGGACTGCTCATCGATCGGGACGCTTGGGTGGACCTCTATCTACTGCACCGGTTTATACCCGTCATGCTTTGGACCATGGGCTGCGGCCTCGTGTTTCTCTCCACCGACGTCGGCTTGGCTGTCTGGCAAAAGACGCTGTCAGTCAAGCATTACAAGGAGCGTGCTGCGACGGCGCAGCACCACCAACGGGTCTTGCGGAAGATCGCTGCGGCGGCACGCGGGGCCGAGAGGCGGGAGAAGGCCGCGGCCGCTGCTGCCGATGCTCTGCAGC